TCTTGCCTTGAAAACATTCACGAGAAAACATAAGTAGAAACAGAATAAGTAAGAATAAAGAAATGTAGTATGAAAAAGCTGTAGAGCAGAATCAGAAAAGACCTTTTTTTCAACTGTAAGTTACGAGTGTTTATAAACAACTTAATGGGAGTTTATTATGTAGTATTTTGTAGGACTGCTTGTTTTACACACAGGACTCTATATTTAGTCACAAGTAATTGTGACTAAATTGCCACTTGTACTCAAGCAATTACTTCAATAAGTTTAGGCAAGCAAACACATGCTCACTTAAGACCCTTATTTTATTTTGGAACTTTTTTGCTGAAAAACAGGTTCAGTCCATGTGATTTCATTTGCTACGTAGTGTAGAACAGATGTCTGTATCCAGACTCTGGAATACAACATATCCTGCATGTAATACAACAATGGAGATTGAAAACATTGTCCGAACACAAGATATAGTTGTAACTAGCTTTGCAAAAGTTAAAATTATTTCTGTGTAGACACTCAACTGAAGAGTAGATCCTCACGTTTACCTGACAGTGCAGCCTGACCACCCAAGAGTTTGGACAGCATGCCCACTTCTATTATGGACAAGAAAACTGACAACTACTAGGATGTTTCTCTTAAATCCACTCAAGGATCCTGAACAAATTTTTTTAAAAGTGGTTATTTGTTTGCAGTTCCTCTGTCAGAATATAAAAATATGTGACATAGGGCAGGCATATGATTTAAGACCTTCAGGCCTCCAACAGGAATTTCTGAACATTTAATAAAAATAGTGTTGTTTTAATTATTTAAGCAGTGTGTGAAGTGCTCAGACATCCATATAAGCTAAGTGCCAGTCAATATATCTCATGATCACTGAATTGCTCCTATAGTTCCTCTTCAGATCACAAGACTAGAGTAAAAGTAACTTGTAAAAAAATTGTTTCCATTCCAAGTTCCTTCATTATTGTTTCTTTACCATAATGCTGCACCAAAATGTATCATCTCTGTCTTTTGTTACATGAAAGAATATCACCTTTGGTGCTCTGTTTCCTATGAAAACAAATGAACACAGAATATCATCTCTGATAACAGTATTTTTTTTAGTAATTTCTCCTCCTATGCTACATTTTATCTTTTAAATTTTATTATGTAATCATTTTGACCTTAATTCAAAATAAAAAATGTACTGTATTCTTGGACTTACTTTATTTGAAAACTTTTGGCATTCTAAAAAGAAGAGGTTACTTTCTCAGACTGGTCTGCCAGAAGCCCAAGAATCTTGAAAAGTCTCCAGATATGCTGGGGATAGTGAATGACACATAAATGCAGTCCTTTACTGCCAAAGAGGATAGACTTCATTGACTTTGGTTTTGCAAATCTCTGTACTTATTAGAATATAATGCTTTTATTGCCATTTGGTAGTGCATTTAGGGATCCAAAGCAAAATGAAGTGAATGGAAGGACTCCCAGAGGTTTCAGTGAGCTTTGAATGAGCCTGTTTTTCTGCACAGATTGCTCCCTGGGGAAGGAACATGCATTCATTAAGCACTGTGCATTAAAGTAACACAATATGAATGCTATGCAACTGTGTAAAATACAGTTGCTATCACTTACTTGACTTAGAGTATCCTCAAATGGGTTTTTTATGGCATTAAAAGTAATTCATTTTCTTGGACTGTTGTTGCTAAGGTTTGGTTTATACAAGGGTTTTAAGAAGAAAGCAATCTGAAAAATACCCAATTACTAGCACAGCAGAAAACTCATTATTCTTTCAAATGCCTCTTTTGGAAATAGCATAAAACTTTTGATTCTGTTGATTCAACAAAAGGGAAGCTGTTTAAAAAGAAATAGAATAGCAAGAGAATGATCATTCAATGCTCTGAAGAAAAGAACTGTTTCCTAACACTTCTCAAGAATTCTGTGCTATTATACCTTGATACCCTCCCCTTTACTCCCCCAGCTTATGCACAGCTGGGACTTTAAAATATGTAAAAGCATATTCTATGTGTCTGTGTCCCTTACGATACCCAGAGATTCATCAGTACAGCTTTGGGTGAATACATATTGCCACTTTTGTGCTGTGGTTCTGACACTTCCAGAAGGTGTTCCAATGTCTGTGCTGACGTGACCTACCATTATGAAATCTGTGTATCAAAACGAATATTGGTTATTAATATGGAAAAGAGCAGTTTGAAACAAATGGAACTCTGTCACGTAATCTTGTACACAGACTGAAAGCAAGAAGTAGGTCATTAATTCCAAACAGTAACGCTTTCATCATTTAGGTAGTAACTTGGATACAAACAAAAAAACTAACCAGGAATCTTATCACAGTTCTTTGCCTGTTCTAGTTGCTTTAAAGTTGATAAGTTCTGATGCTGTGGTGGTGTTGTTTTTTTTTTTTTTTTTTCCTTGTGTGGTAAAGCTCTACAAAAATTGAAAAGAATGAGAAGAAACTCTTGCCATGAGACAGTGGGTAAATGAAAGATAAAGTTAAGTTGTATAAATGTATGTTAAGAAGAGGACACAAAGAAGGATGGATAAAAAATATAACTCTTGTATTCAAACATAGGCTGCTTTCACAAAGCAAAGTTGCATTTGTTTTTTCAGTACTCTTGCAAAAATAACCCTCCTGTCATGTCTGATTCTGTTAGACATTCATGCTTGGAGCAATCTTTAAATGGATGTTTTATTGACAGCCTAACTTCCTGTGTCTTGGTAACATGTAGAGAGGACTTAAAAAGCCATTACCTTTAGGAAGCCATTTTGGGACTTCAGATTTAACACTGATTAGATTTAATTCTTTCCATATTTTTATTTCTAAATGCATTATGACTGGACACATTTGATTAAGAAATACAATTTTGGTATTAAGTCACAGATGGGGGTTTAGAACAGCTAGGTACCTACTTGCTTCTTTGTGTAAGGAATAGGGTACTGGTAATACAAGACCTGTAGGGTGGTACATGGCTATATAGCTACATGTGCACAGAAAGCCTGTTTTGCAGCACTGTTGTTTTCATCAATCCCACGTTTTTTCAGTCTACTAGTCAACTAATGCACCTTCAAAGAACCCCATGAACATAAACTTATATAGAGACCAAAGATGTAAAGTACAGTCCAGTTGAATTACACAGTGAAATTGCAACAACTGGATGTAGCCTGACTGAAATAAATGTGCTGGGATCTCTGATGAGGTATTTTTTCTTAGTGCCTGTCTTCTGGCAAAGGAATACAGCAAAAAAAGAAAAGATAGAGTAGAGCCAGAGCACCAACATTCTCTGATAGCTGCTGAGATACATGTATTTAAACTTGAAGCTGGAGAAGAAGCTCTCCAATAATCAAATAGCCACAGTCAACATATTATGGATCCTCTCATTTCTTCCAGAAATCTTTTTCATCAGCAGAAGCCCAGAAAATTATCCAGCATATACTTTTCTAATCAAACATGGCAGAATACAAAAGGGAGAAATATTTCAGCTGGATCAAAAGAGTATGAAAAAGAGTCTTTCTAAAGAGGAAGCATTTGGGGCCTGCTAACACTGCAGAGCTTCTTGGCAGGGTATGTTTCCTTAGTTGTAAATATGGGTAGAAATCTTAAATAGAGTGATACACCATCTCTAATTCTCAAACCAGTTAATTTGTAAGAAACTTAAAATATCTCATATGGAGTCATATTGTACCATCTAGACACAGTCTTTAGTGACACCAAACTTCCTATCTACAGCACTTGTATACTCCTTGCCAACATTATCTTTGCTGACTTTCTTTTCAGAGTTTGCATTTGGTAATATTGACTGTATTTGCTGAACAAAGGTTTAAGAAATTCTTCATTTGAAAATCTGAGTTAACACATGAAAGGATTTCAGTTAAGTTATACATATCTCCAAGTGAACAAGTGAAGCTGAACCAACTGTTGTAGTCATCAGATTTTTAAGTGATGCTTTCTCATTACCAACAGAAGAGTAACACAATCTGTGCATTTTTTGAAGTTGCTCTGCTTAACAAATAACAGTAGTTGGAATGAGACTAAGTGTGATACTGAGGGGAAAGTAAAATAAAATACAGCATGCTTTTTGGAATGGATTGTGATCTCTATAAACACTCAAAATTTGTGCTTTTCATTGCTGTTAGGAACCTAGTCTCTATGATGCTGGACTGCTGTAAAGAGAACTCTTCAGGGAGTATACCTCTTGAGTCCTTAGACTACTGTAACCTGACCTACCTCTGAGCTCTTTTCCAGAAAATTGCACAAAACCTGAGCATGAACATGAAATTCTGTTGGGAATGTTATTAGCAGAAACATTCATTCTTTGCCTATGCTGAAAAGATCTGTCAGCCTCACTAAACTAAGAATCCAGTCAGTAATCTGTAAACCCATCTGGCATGGACTAAAAAGACCACAAAATTTGAGTGAGAGGTTACTTTTGTGCATAGATACGGTGAAGGTCTTCAGATGACACTTGAATAAGAACATAGCCGAATTCTGCTGTGAAGCAAAGATACCAGCAGTTCCTCACTGAAAAGATTCTCCACAGAAACCTTCTAGGTGCATACATGTGTTCATATATATATATATATATATGCACATATATATATATATGAAAAGGTATATTTACATATACATTGGACTATGTGTCATATCTAGAAACATCAAGATATTTCAAAGTCTAAAAGTCCACAAAAGTCCACAGAGTTTATAAAGTCCCCGGTCAGACAGAATGTCCACTCTTCATGGAAATGTTTTCAGAAATCCAGTCAGGTACCAAAATACTTCAGAAAAACTTGCTTCTGAATGCTGAAAACTAAGTGTCCAAACTACCAGCAACTCACTAAAAAGCCGTACTGTTGAACCCTCTATGCATCCTGCAAACCAGCAGAAAGCTGCCTTAATCCAAACTCAAGGTTATTGCGAGTCTAACATCACACTGTTAGCACTTTCTCATGTATTCTTATCAAATGCACCTTTACACAGATCTTTCAGGAACTTCAAAAAGTAGTACAAATACTTCTTGTTAATAACAAAGTGGTGGTACAAGATGATTTCCTTACTTTTGGGAGGGAAGCTCTCGATCCCGAGCTTTGCGTGGTCATTGTCAGAACTGTGGTGATACCCAGCGCGACTCTAGCTGGAGCAGCATCCATGTTGATCCAGAAAGAAACCCAGGACAAAATGACAATCAGCAGGCTAGGAATGTACATCTGGATTAAATAGTATCCCATCTGACGCTCCAAATGAAACTTGACTTCAATGCATGTAAACTTTCCTAGAACATGAAATTACTTTCATAAATGCTTATTGCACAGTTTTATCTTGTTTTCTGAACATAAGCTAGATGTGTGGCCTGTTTCCTGACCAAACACTATCAACATGTCCTGATACACAAAAGGGGAAACCAATCATTTGTTGTATGCTAGTTTGGGGGACACATGGGACCCCTGAAGCAGACTGTGCCCAGTTTTTCACATTAAATAAGAAAACAAGTATTAGCATGGTTGTTTCACCACCATAATAGAACTTCATGTTCTTTTCTCAAAATTTAATGAGATTTTACTTTAATCAAATGTAATGTTTAGTATTAAAAGGGGATAGCAATTTGCTCTTTTAATGATAAGAGATTAAACAAATGTACTTAGATAAATTGTAGCCACTGGTCTTACAGTTCCATGGTAGATCATGCTCCTTCTCATTCTGGTCATGTCATTTGCCCATGTCTGTGGATTATGTCTCACAGGAGAATCAGCTCAAAGCCCATATTTGAATTTTGCCAAGAGTCTAACTCCAGGAAACTCACAACAATCTCTTGTGGGGGGTGAGTGATTCTTCAGACAACAAATAGCTGCTCCACAGGGGTCGCAGAAGACAGAAGTTTAGGATTACCTCACAGAGGAGCTAGTGCAGAGTCCTGAGTTGCAGCAGCTCATCAGCTACTAATGCAATCACAATGTCCTGCTCCCCGAACTACTATAGTTTATGTCCTCTGGAGGCTTTCACTGGAGGCAGACTAACTTGAGTACAAGAAAGTCTTTCCTTCCTGAAGTATCATGCTAATAGTTTCGGAGGACCCTTTTTGTGCTGGTTGGCCAAACGTGTGAAGATACATTGTTATTCATTGATCTTTCAGAGGAAATTAGATTTCTTCCTCCTTTTTGTTAAATGCATATTTTTAGGCTAGTCTAGAAAGCTGAACAGCAGGGTGTGAGAGTTGGCACAAAGGACAACGCAGAGGCTGTTTGACAAAGAGAGGAAGGGAGAAGAACAAAATGAAACCTTTTGGCAGAACAGAAGCTCTAAAACCTGGATAGTGACTGATCCTGACCAGTATGCCCGTACAGAAGGGGACCTGAAATGGGTGGGGTAGCCAAGTATGGCAGCAGTGCCATGAGATTAGCCTCATCTGTTGAATGCTCTCCAGATTTCTGTGGCACAACCTGGACAGTGTGTGTACGAGAAGGCTGAATAATACAGATTTTATCCACATTTTAATTTCACAGCAAACCTGAAGGAGCATACTACAGAGAAGACAGTAATGTGGGTGCCTGGATGCAAAGTTTACTTTTGCTTCAATATTGCTTTTCAACTCCTGGCCAGGATACACATTTTTAACTTTTGGTAACTATACATGTATTTTATTTAACTAGATATAATCAGAGCTACTAATCAGCATTTTTATGCCTTTGTGGGGAATCTTCCTGGGTATACAAGGAAGCTCTTACCCATGCTCTCCTTCCTCTCTTACTTTCAGTGTATGACTCTGCAACGTGGTTATCTGACAGTAATCAGAAGAGCATATGAACTCAGTTATTCAGTTTCAATCACATGGTGGGAGATGGCTGAACTTTGAATCAGCCAAATTATAAATGGGTAAGCTCTGTCTGTTGGAATTTACTCTTGATTATCTCCTTTAATTGTAAGAAAAGATGACAAGTCACAGCAGTCCCCCTTTCTACAGGTCTTGGACTGTGGAATTACAAAATTTTCCTTTTTGGCATTTTGGCACCCGAAATGAGAAGCTGCATGTATAAAAATTAAAAACAATCATTTTCTTTTCATAAGAAATTAATGTAATTTTATTTTTGGCAGAGGCAGAGCCTCTCACATTGTGTTATTTCACAGAGTGAAACAAATGTATTTGATGCAACCGGATTGGCTCTTAGGCTGAAATGATGAAAAAGCTATTTTAGATGAGAGGGATTATATCTAATCCCAGCAAGCACCCGGCAAACGGTTCTCTAAACGCTGTCCCTATTAAATAAACTCCAAGCAGCTAAATCAAAATTTTAACAGAGCTCTCTCTGCTCTGTAAAGCTAACGATGGAAAATACAGCAGCTGAAACTTGAAGGTAGCAAATACAAGAAAAAATATTAGAGCATTAAACAAAAATATCGTTTCCCAACATTTCATGTCTGTATTCAATTCAGATCAGCAATGAAAGCATTGTCTTTTCAAAACATACATCTTATAAGTTAGACCACATATAAAAGCTGGTAAAATTTGTGGGTTTTTTCCTCATTGGCAATCTGATGTGCTGGAAAAGTAAATCAAGTTCAGAAAAATTAATGCTTTAAAAGTGATTAAGCAATATTTAAGTAAAAAATCAGACCCAGATCTTGTACCAGGTGTTTTGTTAGTTTTTTTTTTTATTTTATTTTATTTTAAATTCCTTAATTATTTAAAATGTATCAGAATATATTAAATTAAATCAAAGGGCATTTGGAAATAAACTCTTCAAAACAAAAACAAAAGAATTTTTTTTTTTTTCATATTTACAAGTGTGGCTGAATCAAATTTTAATCTCGAGATTTTTTTCTTATTTTATCCATGTTTTTTCTTTACAAATCAACAATAGATACTACTAGAGAAATTAATAGAAAAAATAGAATAACACTCACCAGTGTTATAATGTTTTGTGCAATAACCAAGTTCTTTATCTTCTTTCAATATAAACTGTGGCAAGGTTAATCCTTCTGCAACTTGCACAGGTCCATCACTTAGCCACTCAAATATCAGATCATTCATGGTGTAGCCAACTACAATAAAGAAATCAGAGATTGTTAGATTGTAGCTGACTAGAAAACATCAAAACTATGTATTATTATGCCTGAGAAACAAAGCTTTTATTGCAGTACATGTTACCTCAGTGATATTTTTGAACTGTCTGATTAACAACAGCACTACTGCTGTAAGCTCCCAGTTACTACTACTGCACTGCTACTCTATTAAGAGTGACAAGTAACACCATTGTGGTCTGAAATGCTGCCCTGGTTTGCCACTAAAAAATAATTTTTGCTCCATCAAAGATACTGCTTACAACTGAAGTGACATTTCTCTGTATCCAGGTATCAGCCTGCATTTTGCTTTATTTTCATCATTCTTTGATGATGGAGTTAGCATGCCCCAAGAAAACAGGATTTCTATACTTCAGAATACTGAGCCCTTACTAAAAAGAAAACAGCAGCTTTTGTAAATGCGTGAACCTACCAATGAGGGTGTGGAGAGGAAAAAGAGGCTCTGGCTCGCTGAAGTGTCTTTTTGACTTCAATGACTACATCTTTATGGGTAAATTAAATATGTTGAGGCCATTAATGGGCACAAAGACAGATGGTAGCTTGGAGCTTATACCTGTACACTGAAACCGATTCTCCTCTCCCCACATAAGACCTTAGGTGGCCTGGTGCCTGCTGGCTATTAGGAATGATCACTGGTGCATGCCATTATCTGAACCACTCCTGGTTTTGTCTCATTGTTACCTGGTACAGATCAAAATAGTGACATGGTGTGCATTGACAGCTGTGTGGTATGGATGGACGTGCACTGGTATGCAAGTCATGCATTGGCCATGCTTAGCCTATCAGCATAAATACACTAATAGGACCTCTGCTTCATCAGGTGTGTTGCTTCCATTTTTCAAAAGACCATAGCATGTCTCGATCAGGCATAGCTAATCCTTGGATGTGTACTAATTGATATTACTTTCCTGAGATTTAATAATTTCTTTGGCACAGCATTGCTGTCGTTATCCCTGGAAGTGATGCAGCCTTGATGGGTGAGGTGATGTCCCCTAGGAGGGGGAAAGGGAAGGGAGCAGGAACAGCACAGATACAGGGCACCCACACAGCATGGCAATGGACAGTTTAAGCATGCATGATTTTCCCTTACAACATAGGAATATTGAGTCTCACCACAGCAATATGACAATGTTAATACTATCTAAACAACAAATGCTATGGTAAAATGTTGTTCTTCAATAGATAAAGCAATTAGACACTCACAGCTCTCTAGTTGCATTGTACATGTCTGTACATCCATAGGAAAATTCTTCAAGTCCATGGGACAGGATAAGGTTAAAGTAAGCCTAAAATTGGAGGAGAAAACACAAAGCAGCTATAGTTACAAATCTACAGGTTTTATTCAAAGCCCCATATTTAGAGTGTAAAGGATCAAGACCAACTCTTAACACCTCAGAGGTTGGGATCACTCTCCCCTCTGAGCTTTTAAGAACATAATATCTGTGAAGACAGAGAGTGTAAGCAAACCAAGCGCTCGCTGGCTGAGTTGGCTGAGCAGAACAGACAGAGAAGAAAACACCAGGATAGGAAGAAATGTTCTCCACTAATATAACAGTGAATGTTTTATGTATAATACTGAACCCAAACAATGCAAAATCTGAAATGACTGATCATGGGACACACATTTTTGAGCTTTGTTTTGGAAAAGTAAAGAAAGGAAACAACAACCATGGGTTTTTTTCAACAGAGTGCTTTCACTTTATTTTCCTCATGACAGAGTCTTCAGTGTACAAGATAACAATATCAGGAAATTAGAGATTGGTTCTGTGTGGCAGTGAAGTGCACTGAGATGACGAAAAGCCCTCAGTAGTTCTCTCCACACAGCAATAGCAAATAGACTACCATTTAACCTTTGGGAGCAAATAGCATAAGCATTAACAGAAAAAATCTGTCATCTAGAGAAAAAAGTATATCTAGTAGACATATAAATGTCATTGAAAATCTGCCCTTTAGTAATTTAAATATTTTAAGTGCCCTGCATATATTGACTAGTCTTCATTCTACTAGATAATTTCCAGCATTAAAGATTGAGCTAATTAAACTGTTAATCCTCATTATTAACAAAAGACTGCTTCTGCCTTTCTTACTGAAATGGTGTTACATCAAACTCTCTTTCTTCTTTTCAGTCACCTTCTAAATAAGAGCTAGATGTCTTAAGTTCATTTCAAATATTCCTTTATGCAAATGCAGCCTTTCTGAATATGTCATGGTTTGTATTCACTGAAGTAGGCATAGCCTACCCACCCCTTGGATTTTACTGACTGTCAGGCCTGGATTGCACACTGACTAAGGTTTCCTTCTCCCTTCATCTCTTTCTACTTCCCCAAAATCTCAGACAATTTGGTGGTTTGACTAAATCCATGAGCAGGTGGGTCTCTTCACAATATAATATCAAACTCATGAGAAAGCAAATACATCCAGTTGTAGCTTTCAAGACTCACAGGGAAAAAATTATCTATCTCCACTGATACTACATAGACCTTTTTTTTTTTTTCTGGAGATGAACTCAGAAAATGCTCATTAAGTAGGTTCACACAAAAATTGACAGCTCTTCTTTCTCTCCCTAGCCAATGGTGTCTTTCAGATAGATTAAATTATTCTCTACTCACCCTGACAAATTGAAAATAACTTCTGTTTGGTGTATTGATGAGGGTAGCTTGAGAGATCATGCCCTTATAGCTTTACCTCTTCTTGTTGTTCATCTCAGCAGAGCAGCCATTCATACTTAATATTTCTGCCTCTGTAATGCCTTTTACTAGGAGTAATGCATATGTTGAAGCCAATGCTTGTTGCGTGATATTATCTGCAGCTCCACTGATTTTCAACAAGATTCCTACATGCTAAATAGTCAGTTGTTGGAGTCTGAAGTAGCTCCACTGAAGTCCATGGTGGTGGGTCAGTTTACAGCAGCTGACTCTTTTGCAACAAAAATATGATCCTATAAGTGTTTCCAAACCCAGGTGCCATGTCACTACTTGTATATTTACATTAATAAGGAAACAGGATCAGAAATGGAAAGTGTTAGGCAGATAGAGCTACCCACATTGCCTATAATAACAGTGTCACTGACAGAAAATGTTTCAGAAAAATTAATGCCTCACACTTGGAAAATTCAAGAAGGGTCCCTGGAGATCTGGTGCAAAGTGCAAGTTTAACTTAATACTTTAATCATTGATAAAATAAAATAAACTGCTAGAGAACAATTAATCAATTTTTCAGGCGTCCTGGCACCAAGGCATTTGAGATGCATAAACAGTTTTGGTGGCTTAGCACCATAAAACAGGCATGAGAAGTGCTTTATGAACATTCTGTAAAAGTGAAAGGAGAAAAAGCTGACTAAGGACTTGATTTTGTCTTCAGTTACCTGAGCATCCTTTACCCTGTTAGCCAGGCTCAGGTTGCACAGCTTGCTCAGGGAGGGCTCTGGGGTTGGGCTTGGTATTTTTTCCAGCTGAGCAGGAGGGAGTCACATCTCCAGCACCCCAGCACTTCGGGCACAAGGCCAGGGCTAGCAAACCACCCCAGAGGAGAGGCAAAATTGCTCTTTTCTTTCCCTCCCCGTTCCCTCACTCATCCCACAGTCAACAAAAAATCAAGCCCTGGAATAGTGCAAACAGAGTATGAGCAGGACAAACACAGAGTCAGTGCCAGAAAACAAAGAATGAACAAGTAGCCAGCACCATGATAAAATAATAACAATAATAATAATAAGTCAGTAATATTACTGAGCAGTGATGTGGCAGAGGCAGTGTTGAAATTAAAGTACTCTGGGGCAGCACTGCCTGTCTTTAAACTTTAGACCTTCTTCCTCAGGATTCCCTCATACACTAGGTAAATCCTGAGCAGCATCTACTGATACTTTAAATGCTTTCACACAGAATCACACACAGAATTGCTATGGGTGGAAAGAACCTTTAAGATCACGGAGTTCAACCGTTATCTAACTCTACCAGGCCACTTTTACACCATATCCCTCAGCACCCTATCTAGACTTTCAAAGTGCAATGGACACTGCCAGGATTCCTTCACTGAGTATATCATTCAAATCCTACTCTTTCATCCCCTGTTTTCACCAGAATGTGCTGAGAAATCACTCAGACTCTAATTGTGTCTATTCCCACTCCAGCTCAACATCTTTCATTTCTGGTCACCCCAGAAACCCCCTTACAGCATCATTCAGATGTCTGTATCTCCAATTCTGTAGGTCAGCATCCTCTGAGGAAAATCCAGCAGAGAGAGGTGACACACGTGTAGCTGATGGAGCTCAGAGGTATTCACATGCAGTGCAATTCATTTCTGAGCTCTGTGGTGGGGCTGAGACATTGGGCTTCCTATTGATCCTTTGCCCTTTCTTGTCCTTGTCCTATCCTTTCTCTGGCCATGGACATACTTTCCTCTCCTCCTCCTATGTCTCCTCATCAACTCTGTGTCTCTCCCGGAGACACCTACATGACCCAGAGCCCAGCCTCTTCCCTTTGCAACCCAGTATTTCCTCACACCCTTTCCCCTCCCTTTCCTGTTGACCAGTTCCTACCAAATCCCTCCTCTACCTCTCTGTGGGGTATTAAGCCTTGAGGCCAGTCCACTTTTTAGCACCTAACCCACAAAAGAGCACCATCAGTGGAGGGTAAGGGCCTTTAAAACAAACAAAAAAATTCAATAGGAGTTTAATGTTTGTAAACAGATTATTCTCAAGATGATCTCAAATCTCTTCTCTCTCAGTGGTTTTGAATGCTGACGCTTATCACCATCAAACCACTTCTCTGATAATCCCACAATGCTACAAAAATGCTTTTGAAAACTGCATACACAGCCTGCTTGTGAATGGCCTGCAACACAAAACTGAAGTAAAGAACTGATAATATCATATTAAACCCTTAGGGAATTGGGTTCACATATTACATAATTCAAGAATTCTTTTTTATAAATTTAAAACAACACCTAATTTTAAATGGGATTTTACATATTGTCTAATCTCCAGCAACGATTAAAATGTGTTCTAAGACACTTATTCTTTACAAGCAGCTATCACTGCTTTACCTGATGTGTTGTGACTCACCCAAAACTGATCTAAGAGATAACTTGACCCTGGAGGAGGACACTGATCCCACAAGAGAAAAGCCCTGTGGATGTCAATGTGAAATATCTGATGACAGGTAAATATAATTTTCATTAATTATCCTGCAAGAGTGGTGGTTTGTGAGTGGGTTACAGAACAGAACCCTCATAGTGTTTTTTCTAATGATAAATAACTAGGATCAGTCTTGTTAAGTACAGAAATACTGTTGGGAATTTAAATAGTCCTGGAGATAGGGGTACAAGTCCCTTCTGTCTCAAAAAAAAAAGCATGATTATCTCCTCACAAACATGAAAAGAAACACATGCCTCACCATGAGGAGGCATGGTATCAAAAATAACATCTTGTTTCTATTCTTATCCCTTCGTTCCTTCATGCTACACCCATCTGCACCTCAGCTGTTGAGACAGGAGACAATGATTTTATGCTGCAAATAGCAAAACACAAATAGTACATACATGACCACTGCTAACATTGTCTGTGTGCCATTTTTATGAAAAGTCTTCTATCTGTGCAAAGCTCACATTGTTTGGGTTAGTGAGACAAGCAGGTTTTTGGTTTTTGTGTTTTTTTTTTTTTTTTTTTTTTCCAGTATTGCCAGTTGTAAAATGCTATCATAAATTGCAAGATTTCTGGCATTCTTCTTAAAGCTCCAAGCTAACAATAAAGGTAAAAATCTTTTTAATGATACATTTTCCTTTGTAAGATTAAATTCCTGATCCTTATGCCTGCTGAAATAACATTAAAATATTACCTAAGTAAAAGCAGACAAAGTTCCCCATTAAACTGGCAAGGGAGATAGAGTTGCACAGTAACCATGACAGCATTGCATGACACAGAGCAAATGCCATTCAGGCTGCTGACACTGAAATGGGGAGGGCAATCTAAAATCTCCTTATATTTCTTCCAGTTCCCTCTCTTGGGTGATGTCTGCCTGAAAGAAAGGCACACACACTGTTCATATATCAGAAGGCCAAAAAAATTCCCAGTGACATTCCTCTTTTAAAGGGCTTTTCATTTTGCACTCCATCTCATTATTTTTTCAGGGACCTGACTCATCATTTTGAATGTCAATTCTGGTAATTTTCACAGTCTGCAGGCTTTGTCCTGTTAAATGGAACAGTCAAACTGTCTGCTTTTCCTCTTATTTTGGAGGTGTCCTGGAATTTCGCTCTAATATTTGTCATGTTCTGCAGCTTCATTTCTGCC